TGCCAGGCAGTTAGTTTGGTTGCCTATTCAAAAAAAAACTCATCTTATAAATTTCACTACACGCACTCGCGAGTGTTTCAGCCGATACCATCCATTCAAGAAGAAAAGAATGCCTACTGCTTGAATTCTAAGAACGACGCGACGTATCCCTCGTGCCCGAAGTTTTGCATCCCGAGTAAAGGGATTGAGACGCACGGATTTCATTCTTTTCCGGCTCAAACACGAATCCTATGAATCGACAGATTCCTATTTTTAATTTCTAACATTTATTTTTGTTTGTGTTTCAGGTAAGCCAAACGTTTGGATATTCGAGTTTCTCTGCGTATGCCTCGTAAGTTTCTGAATATTTCTCCTTCATCCTTCTGTGCTAAGGAAAAACGCCATATGAACATTCAAGAGTTGGCAGTTTTCCCTGGATAAAACATGTATTTTTAAGGAAAGTTATTCATATTTCTCCTTAAAATTCGCAGATATTTTACATGGAATTGCGGATAAATCTGTCTGCAAATTGAAAGAAAAATATTCACAATTTTCCTCGTAAATTCATTTTAAGTGAAGAAAATCTGGCAACTTCTAAAGGGTAATGCGGCGTTCCTCCTCAGCACAGCAGCATAGCATACTTAGTTTAAATCTTGCACATTTACTTCTTTTCGAGAATCAATTTGTTTTTATTTGTTGTTTCTTGACTAACTGCACCACTAATCGAGATTGTAGTGCGTTCCTTACTTTTTTCCGGGCCCTATCATCATAGAATATAAATAGCTATGCTTCTGAAAATTTGTCGATCGAATCGGTGCCGAACAGTCTACGTTTACCAATTCATGCACAAGAAAAAAACACATTGGATGTGCAGAGTCCAGACTCTTAAAAACATCGACAAGAAAAAATACTCTTGATTCAATCGGATTTTTGCTTAAATCAAGAACCAAGCCTCTGTAATTTGAGCGGATTTCCTTTTGATTTAAACAAAAATCTGATTGAATCAAGAGTATTTTTTCTTGTCAATGTTTTCAAGAGTCTGGACTCTAGATCCAATGTGTTTTTTTTTCCAGTGTGTTCTCAGTTTTCGATTGTAATGCCGATCGAATGCATACTCTCCATCTTCACCAACATGCAATGGCTCTCGAGATATTCCGCATTTTGCTCTCTATTTGTCTCCGCTCGGAGCGAAGGAGCCGTGAACTTTGACCCTCGGCGAGCGATATGAAAGTGCATAACTGCCATACTCGAAAGCCACCGTCGGCCGCGCTTTGAGAAGCTCTTTAATTTACTCGAGAGCCGAGTTTATCTGATTAGCCGCGCCTGTTTTACACCCGATGCCTCCCGCAACGCAAAGGATCTCCGCGTCGTCGCCAAATCGTGCTGGAAAACCAGGCTTTTCCCCACGTTTAAACCCTTGTAAAATATCCGCACAATTTGGCAACCTTGGATCTCCGCCCCTCGCGCGAGCATGCAAACTAGCCGGGACGCGTTAATTTCCGTCACCCGGGTTCCGCTTCCACTTCCGCCTCCATCGGATACTCGCGCGCTCCCCCGCGGACTCAAAACCGCATAACTTCCCAACGGGTGGTTGTGTTGATGCGCGGTTTTTGACCAGCTTGGTGGTGCGATTAGACGCCCAACACCGGACAACCATTTCGGCGTCCGGTCCAGAGGCCGTTGCCGACCCGGGCCTTTTTAATCGTCTTCCTTGTCCAAGTTTCGAGGAAGAACGTCGTATGAACGGAGGAACGTTGTCGGATAATGGAGATGTTGCATGTGTGAGGAATTTGCGATTTGACTGTGGATTCTTATGAGAAAGTTCGCGAGAAACACGATGGTCCCACTGGTATTTTCTGAAATCAACTCCCAAGCTCATAAAACGCTGTCAAGTTGAGGCCAAAATGGAGGGGATATCCCACCCTACCCTGAGAGTCCACCTCTACATCAAGACAAACTCTCCATGCAAAGATAGGAAGCAAATACATTAGCAGGGTTGCCGGGTTTTCAGATTTCGAGTCCCCATAAATAAAGTGGCACCCTAGCGAAAATATTACCTTGCGGTGAGCTCACCATCACCTTGCGGCAAGGTATCGGCCTTGCCACCCTCTCCGAGCCCTATCCGAGGCCTCGCCGGGTCAGTTCGTGGAACTTAACGACTGGGAATAATTATGCATGGCAACGTTGGAGACGAAAATCGTACCCAACACGGGGTATTTCCCGATGGTGTGTCGCCTTTTTCGCAACCTCCGTCTGGATTTGGGTCTACAGTGTTGTCATACGGTTTTATTCCCGGTCGTCGAGTTCCATGAACTAGCTCGGATAGGGCTCGGAGTGGGCGGCAAGGCCGATACCTTGCCGCAAGGTGATGGTTAGCTCACCGCAAGGTAATATTTACTCTAGGGCAGCCCTGTCAACGTATTTGCTCCCTATCTTTGCATGGAGAGTTCGTCTTGATGTAGAGGCGGACTCTCAAGATATCGTGGGATATCCCCTCCATTTTGGCCTCAACTTGAGAGCTTTTTTTGAGCGTGGGAGTGGATTTCGAAGTAAACCAGTGGCACCATCGTGTTTTTCGCGAACTTTTACATAAGAATCAATAGTCGAATCGCAAGTTCCTCACACATGCAACATCTCCATTTCGCCCTCCTTGTCCAGGTTTCGAGGGAGAATCTCGCATGAACATAGGAACGTTGTCAGATTTTATTGGTAAAGTAACATTGCTTTCATTTTTATTTTAATTTGACACGGTGGCTAACGCAGGGGAAATCTTGTATGTACGTATGGGAATTTTTAAAAAGAAATACTTGGAAAATTGGAAAATTTTTCCGGGGAGCAGGCAATTTTTTTCATTTGTTGATGAAACCACTGCACTGATTTAATCCAAGATTCACTGAAACGTACGTCTCTATTCTTGAATGAATGCTACAGCAGTGGAAGGTTTACCCTTCTGAAAGCACTCATGCAATATTTCCTTTTTTTAAAAGTCAAGTTTGGGGGGGGGATTCCAAAATTAGTCATTGAAATTTTAAAAAATTCGAGGAAAGTCAGGGAATTTTGATATTTTGGTTCATTTTCCACCTTTGCACTTAGCAATGCTTACAATGGATCACTAGACAAGCAATGAAAATGGACACCAAAGCATGTGCTTTTACATCAGAATTTTACGCAAAACATGGTAGACAAAAAATTACCACATTCGATTAATAAACTTTTGCGCCAATATTCGTGACTGGCCTTCTGTCCTATAAATATAAATGCTACTTTAGGAACTCCTCGAAATCTCAGTATTATGCGTTTGGAAATCTTAAACCCTGTCCTCTGATCTTTTTACTCTTTTCCTAGGATGGAACTGTCGAGAAAGTGTCCATTGGCGGATCCAGCGGCAACACCGGATTTCCTCCTTTAATCCTATGGAAATGTATCGATTCTTGGAAGGGCCAGGTGCTCCGACAACAATCGATTATTTAACATAGGTTTAAACGGAGGAAAGCCAGTGTTACCAAATTGCTGGATCCGCCTCTAAAGGTGTCCGGCTCTTGATGTGAAAGAATACAAGTTTAGGGTAGATCGTTCAAGTTAATTCGAGTCAGGCCAAACATAGGTGACTACCTATGCAATTTGTCTCCAGCATTTTATTTTTCTCCGTGGACGGAACATATGTATTCTTACGGATAGAATTTGTTGCACGCCTATAAATGAATGCAAAATATCAATGTGGATATCTTGTTTGTGTTTGAACGATGCGTTGTGGTTGTAGTATTGAAGTTCTAGCTCTCTTCAACTGTCCATTATTTTTTCAGGTACCTATTTTTCATGTATCCATTTATTTATATTTTCATCAATAACACGCTCTGAAAAACTTCTATTCCACTTCCCTCAGGCGACTTCGAATAGAGGAAAAATGCCGTATGAACATGCGTATGTTGCCAATTCTCTCGTGATAAAATATTAGGATTTTTTTGAACGTTGCATCCTTTTCTCTTTCTTTGATTTTTCAAAAAAATGCATCGCTATTTTATTTTGTCCATCTAAAAATTCGATAAAAATGTAATATTGCCCTTTTATCCGCGTTTCCTCCCACGCGAGGAAGGAACGGAGAGTTTTCCCGATTGGTAGCTTTTATTAAATAAACAAACTCGAATACTTAAACCTACGATTGCGAATGACATCTTATATTGTACTAAAGCAACAGCAGCGTAAAAATACTCTCGACGAAGCTGATTGGGCATTTTTGGAGGAGGCAATACAATTTCCTTGTGCGGATTTTGTTCGATAAGAACCTAAATCAAAATTGATCAAAAATCAATAAGATGGGTGAGGTTGCAACTCAGAATAAAACAACGAACAAAAGCTGCTTCTAGCTGCAGTAGCATTGAAGAGCGAAACTAATCAAATTGTATATCATCATAGTTGCAACACTCGACCCGAAAAAACTAAAGACATTGGGGTCAGATGCCGCAACATGGCAGTCTGACTAAACTTCAAAAACACGAATTTTCCTCCCCCAGACTAAGACGAATAAGAACTCAAAATAAGTGCCAGAAACCGCAACAAGGCTATCTGGACTTTAGCTCTCTTCTTAGCAGCTCAATACAAAAAATCGGCTATAGGTGACCGCAACGTGGTTCACCTGTTAACACTCGCGAGAATTCGCGAGCATTCAAAAAAGGGGGGTTTTAGTCGCACTTGAGGTGATCCCTTATAGGTTCAAGACCTTAGGCGCAACAAGCCTTTTTAGTCTTGTCTTAAGGGTCTCTCGAAGATTGACTCA